GCCCCCCCCCCCATGCCTATTAACAACTTCAGTTAACCAGTGAAACTTTATATGGAATGCGGCCCTACGAATACATAAAGGATGTAGGCAGACATAACACTTAAAGTGCTTCAAATGACTCTGAAAATGGTGAATGCCCTCCAAAAATAACCCTGAAGAAAACAAAAAAAACTCTTTATAAGAGCTTCAAAATGAAGCGCTTCCTGTTTCATGTGCATGCTTTCTGCACCTGCCCGTACCCAATGGAGAGAGTGTGGGGAGAGTGAAGCAGACTGTCAGTATGCTCTCCTGTGTGCCTCATCTCTGCTATCTCAGAGAGGTGTCCCATCCCCCCAGAACTGGAAGACTGGAGGCCTCATGCTCTCCACACCTGTCACAGTTCCAGCAGGACGGTGCTCTGGGACATAGACGACTGGTGCCGCATTAGTCGGGGTGGGGGGCACATGCCCCCCCAACAACTAGTCAGTGATCAGGGGGAGGGGGTCCCCCCGTGGCTGATCACACCAACCGGGGGGGTTCCCTCGCAGCTGATCGCGTTAACCGGGGGGGGAGGGGTGTCCTCCTGCAGCTGATCACACTGGCCAGGAAGCGGCTATGGCACTCCCAGAACCAGCCACAGCACTCCCACTCCTCAGCCCATGCTCACGGGGGGGGGGCACCAGTGCTCCCACCTGCCCCCCCGCCCATCACCTGAATGAGGAATGTGGCCTGTCAGAGGGTGCACCAGTGGTCTCAGGGGATGCACATGCACCCCATGCACCTGGTATGGGTCATCACTGCTCTGGGAGAACAGAGAACATGGGAGAAATCTCACTGGCAGTCAGCTCCATTCACTGTTACTGAGCACCCCATACACAACTCTCCTGTCCCACCTCCCCAGGTTCCTAGAAATTGCTGCATCCTGTGGCTCAGCTCTGTAGCCTCTGCTGTCCTAAGGGCTGCTGTGCCTGCAACTCAGCTCTACCCCAACACCACTGGTGCTTAATAGACAATATAATATATGTCTGCATTCCTGCAGACAAGAATTTCTCAATTCAGATCAGAGAGGTGCAATTTTGCCCTTTGGCTTTGGGGAGGATTTTTCCTTCCTAATGCCAGAGATAAAGCCTCAAACCATTTACAAATCTTTACTTACAGACCAGTCATCCAAGTGTTTTCCTTCTATTTGCTCTTGACAGCAGAAACAGACTGTTACCAAGAAAAGCAGAATAGATAGTGCTAAAGTAAATGAATTTATTGTCATTGTTATACTCTATATCCCATTGCCTTTTATGGAAGTCTGTTAATACCATCAGTGACACATTTCTCTACATGTTGTAACAGTTCTAACAATTATCGACAATTTGGTGGCTGCATAATACTATATAGGCACATATATCGCATCGTAGCAGAGCACCCAATGTGCCTGCTACTTAAAAGGGTAGAAGCAGCCTGGCCAGGCTATTCAGAAAGCCAGGCAGGTACACAGGTACAGGTTCCCAAGGCAACTGCCTAATAAGGTAATTGGCCTTCACCTGAAGATGGTCAGCTGACTGGGAGGAGGCAGGGCCCTGGGGAACATATAAGCCTAGGATGGGAGCTAGCAGTCTCTCGCTAGCAACTGCCAAGGAAAATAGGCCATGGAATGGGATGGGCCACCCAGGCCATGGCCCAACCAACTTTTAGTATGTTAATTTATATAACCCACAAATGCGCAATTGTCATTCTGGTCAAAACTGTGTAGCTATTTTTTTAGCTGCATAGCTAGCTAAATAGCAAGCTGTATTTCCACTTTGTTTGTGCCTGATGTGACATTTCCGACCGACACATGCCATTATGTAAATTGCCCCTATGCATGTTCCAGCTAATGTCACAAAAATATATTCAGGACATCAGAAAAAAAATAAAAGCGTAAAGTAAGAAATCGGTGGTGGGAGCT